TGAGTAGAGGCTTTATATTCCTATTTCTGATTAGAGAAGAACACCATTAATAGAATAGACCTTTCACAAAATTAGAAAATTGAGTCACCAGGCATCCTGGTACAGCAAATATGAACAACCTCAGATAACCATCTCCCCCCAGCTATGGCTGCAAATACATTCAGGCTTCACTGTATATACTAAAACTTTGCTGTCCCCTCAAAGATTCTATGTACTTTTTTCAACATTTTTGTTTCTCTTGCATATTATTTACATACACAGAGTTCTGTTGCTCTTAAGACTTTACAGGTAAGACTTCTCATTAGAGCCTACACTAGTCTTTTTAACCACTCCTATACTTCTGATTCCCTAGACATACATAATTGAGTTCCAGGTAGATTTTTAAGTCTCATTTTGCATTCTTTCCAGGTCTCCTTTATTCAAGTCCAATTCTGGTTTTGTGTTACTACTCTTTGCATAGACCCTCATCAGTAATCCAAACCTGAGGGTATTGTGATTGCATTGTTATAACTTTTCAACTCCAATCTTATCTATTGCACCTACATTATTTCTAGTCATTAGCTGCAATATCACTGGTAAGCTTGTAGGCAATTACGTCATTTAAGGGAGCATCCTTGTACTGCCTTATTGAACATGCAGTTATCTGCATTTTTATACTACTGGCCTTTTTAAAAAATTACTTATTTATTTCTTTATTTATTTATTTTGCCCTCACTCTGGATCAGAATAAATGTTATCACTTGCTCCTGTAGAGGCTTCTTTCATACAAAGTATATTTAAAGACTTTCCACGTTGCTAGGAACGTGTGTTGATCTAACTCCCAATCCCAAACCTTTTTTATTCTATGATCTTATTCAAACTTTTGAGTCAGACTGTGTCACTTTCTGCGTCACCTGCTCTCTGTCTTGGTTTTTCATAGCAAGCTTTACATTCATTCCTTGCACTGAACTTTCAGTGATATAAACCAGAGCTGTGAACGTGCAGACTGTGTAGAATGCATGATGTGTTGCAACAAACACAGTGAAGTTATCAACAACTAGTGATTCAATACTGTTAAATACTGTCCTCATGAGCATCTTACAGTAGCCACATTGCAACAACTTCTACATTGCGAGACAGCACCCAAGGCCATGATCCTAAACATATGTGTAACAATGCATCCTCACAGTGCGAAGAGCTGAAGTAGTTCCAACTCTGAAAGCTCAAATTTATCTAAAAATTCTGAAGGAACGGGCAGGTCTTTGCACAATGAGGTATTTTCTGCTAATATTCAGATAGAAGAGGGCCAACAAAAAAAATCATATAATGCACTCTTGGTAAACTAAAGGAATTCAGAAATTTAGCCCATGCTAAATCTAATCTGTATTGTCAGAAGTTCACAGTCACAAAGAAAATTGGGATTACTCTCTACTATTCGGTAATCTAGTAGAAGGACTCTCTCTGCACTGTGCTTTGTTCACTAAAGAAAGCAGGCAGTGTGAGAATACAATGCATTTCAATATCCTTCCCATGAGCACAGCTCAGCCAAGACAGCACAACAAGTGATTGACATTGCAGCCTGGATGCTCCTGGTCCTGCTTCATTGGAGGGAGAGAGGAAACCACCACCACACTGTGACTGAGACAGACCTACTCACCAGTCAGAAAGTAAGTCCTCTTCCCATACATTCAAAGACTGAGGACTGACTAGTTTGCCCCCAGGCTTATACGCTAAGCCAGAGCTTAACATCATCAGTCACCCTGGAAAGCACTCAAAGATTATTCGTTTCTGTAGAAAGGAACTGACAGTTTTGATCTGGTCTGCTTTAGGAACGTGACAGACACACTTGACTCCTAATTTCTGACTATCTCTTTACATGGGAAAGTGAACCTTTTACAAATACACAGTAAACTCAATATAACTGTGTGTGCTTTGGATTGGTAAAAAGAGACAAACTGAAACCATGATTCATTTTAACTACCAAGCCTCCACCCCTGATTTGCCTTTCATTTGCTTTGGGCTCTAATAACTGTCTCACCAGTATCAAGTTACAGCTGAATGTAGACACATAATTAAATCACATTTTTCTTTAAATGTAATACAGCTGAAATGCTACTGAACAGAAGCTTCAGCCTCTGGTGTGAACATAGGATCTGAAGCCTCGCAACTGATCTCAGCTTGACTTTTGACTTGTCTGTTACGATCTTCATCTCATACTTCACAGGGCTGTTGCGAGATTTCTTCTGCTAATGTCTGCATGTATCTTGAAAATGTAAAGTGCTATCTAAGTGCCAAGTATTATTACTTATTCATCAGTCTTATTTCCTACATCAGTATTATCTGCACAAAGCATGCCTAGCTTCTCAATCAGCAGAACTTTTGCTTTGGACCACAGCAGCCCACAGCCAACAGTACAAAATGCATCCCTAACACTCAAAAGTTTAAAGCCACACCATCTATCCTGGATCCAAACAAATCTTTATAAGACACTGCTCAAAACTGCAACAATTATTAGTATTTCAGAATTTGTGTTTCCATTATTCACGCTAAAATTGGATCTGCAGCAACATTAATTACAGTACAGCAATCTCACTTAGAGCTGCGTAGCTAGGCATTATTCTTTGATGTCCCAAACCACATTTCTTGAATCCTCTTCGTTTACTAATTGCACTTTTATATCTTTTCTTAATTCAGGACTGGCTTTTTGTGTGGTGGGATATTCTGATCTTCAGGATTTCTGAACAAACCTTTTCAAGCAGTACTTTTGTGTCTTGAGTTTCCTTAAGGGAACTCCTGTTTCTCTGCATTCAGAGCCAAAGACTGAATATGACAGTTCTCAGCCAGTTTCTCCCTAGAGCTAAGACAAAGCCAGCCTATTTGTGGCTTTAGGTTCTGCTGTGAAAATGATGGCTGTATTATTTCTGCTCATTTTGGAATTAAAAGCATCAAAGCATCTCAAAACTTCTGTCTGCAGATTCCACATGGCTTAATTTTCTTCTTCTGGCCCATTGGCATGAGAGACTTTATTGCCTCAGCCAGGTTTTGATAATTTTTGCATGCTTCTTTATGCTAGAAAATCTAGACGTTATGGCTTTTTAGCACAAACTCATTCCCTTTCTAAATTCAATTTTTATGAGTCAGTATCTCAACTTATTTGACTACTTCATGACCTACAAAATATTCTTGAAATCTATATGTTTAGTAGAATTACCATTGAGCATACATCTCTTCTTCCTGATCTTTACATAGGTACTTGTTTTGTTATTTATAATGAAAACAAGTATCTCTCATATGCCATTGCTGCATTTCTCTCAAATTCCCAAAGAATGAGGTAAATGAAGTATACTGTGGAGACCAGTTTTCACAGTTAAAAAGACACAAAAGTTTTTACTTTCAAAGCAATGCACATTTACTTAGCCTCTAGCTCCTTATTTAACACAAATTCTTATAAAAAATGATAAAGTTTTTGCAAATAGATAATATTGTTAAAATGTAACTTTCCAAAATAAAAACTTTATGTAATAAAGTCATCCTCACCTTTACGGGAGCTTTCCTCTCCCACTGCAAGTTTACCATCTTTCCTTTCCTTATCTGGCTTCCTTGGCACTTTATAATATAGTTTGTGTCAAAAATGTAACAATAAAAAACCTGTCACCCTGTCATAACAAAACAGTGAACAAGATGTTTGTGGCTTGTTTGTTTTTAAAGACAACAAGATGAAGAAACATGGCGTAGTTCACACTAGTACTAGGGAGCCAAGCACTCCTATTTGTGCTCCTCAGAACTGTTTCTTGAAGAGGTTACAAAGATGTACATTTGTGTTTCTCCTATAGAAATGGAGCTCAACCAAATCAAATGCTGAAAATCCCTAATTTGTTTGCTCTGCTCAGCATTTGTAAACTTTCTGGTGGAATTAAAGATGCAGTCAGCTGCCCTTGGGAAGCTCATGCATTCAAACCCAACATAAAGATTTTAAAAAGCCCAAAAAATGGCAGTGGACAGTACAAACTATGAACAAAAATTCCCTGTTTGTCTGAGACTTTATCTCAGCTTTCTGAAAACAACATACTTCTTTGGTAGTGACACTGATCCAGTGCTGTGCACTCCTTACCTTCTCCATTGTCTCCTCCTTAGCACTGCAAGAATTATTCTTGCTAGCTGACTCACTGTCCTTAGAGGGCTGTCAGCCTCTTTCAGAACAGCACGCAGAAATAGATACTTAAATATTCCAGAATAATTTTTAGCATGTCAGTCAAATATGTAAAAGGGTGACTTAAAAGACTTTAAGAACTAGTTGCCTATTTCCATTCTGATGTCTTTTTCTCTATGTAGTGTGCTAGAGAAGGAAGAAAAAAATAGACGTTACTTAGGAGAGATATGGTTTCAGACACAGAATGAGCCAAAAAAGACACAAATTCTTGTATTTCCTTCATATGAGGCTAATTATTATCAAATTCACTGTGAAGACACCCTTCTCCCCAACAAGAATGTTGTACAAACCGCATTTTCTAAAGCTGTCCCTGGCCTCCAGTGCACTGCTGGGAGCTGCACGTCCTGTTGGGCTCAGCCTCTTTCTTGGATGAAAACTGTGCTCCAGAGCACAGTTGCTTGCCTACAGACATGGTCGAAGCAAACACTTCTGAATACAGAAGTGCACAGACACACCACTCCAGCCTGAACATGGCTCTTACTATTATTTTAAAATTCCAGCCAATGTGGAGGTGCACACTTCTCACACTACTTGATGTTTTGGCATGCCTTTTCAAGTCAGTCATTCGTGCAGCTGACCCCCCTACTTGGAAGCTGAATCAGACTGAATGGAACTTGTTCCTCCCAGCACACATCAATCACTCCTTGTGCACACATCAGCACAAGGATGACTATACAGAAATTTTGGAAAGGTACTTGGGAGAGGAGTCATCTGCATGGCATTCGCTGCTCAGATAACTGCTTTGTGAAAAGCAGAGTAATTTTATAAAGAGGGCTTGAGACCCTTAATGGCAAACACAAATAAAACTCACCTTTGTGTGGGAGACCTGTCAGTGAGCCCAGGTGCCAGACATCCCAGGCAAGCTTTTCAATCATGTGGCTATTGCTAGATCCACACTGTGACACTCTTTTGTCTCCAGTCTTCTGCGTCTCACAAATGAAACAGATGGGAAATAGGAGGGCTGCTCTGAAGTAACGTCTGCTATTTCATTATGCTGGCCTAAAATGTCAAAGGTGGTGTTGGTGGTACAGCAATAGAGGTTGAACCTTCCTGACAACATTCAGTTATATTTTGTTGCTGTTTGACAGACGACAGCAGGAGGGGCAGCCTGACAAAATGGCGTCTGATACAGAAGTGCGCATGAAGCAAACGGGTGCCACCGAATTCCTCCATGCTAAAAAAATGGCACCCACTGACATTCATCAACACTTGCTGAATGTTTCTGGAGATGAAACACTGTATGTGAGCACAGTGAAGTGGTGGGCGGTGCACATCAGTAGTGGTGACTGCAACAGTGGATCACCTTTTGCTGGTGCAGATTTTTATAGAGTAAGGCATGCAGGCTTGTTTATCGCTGGTGAAAACGCATACCTAATGGTAGCAACAATGTTGAAAAATACTGCTTTGTAGCTGAGACTTTGCTCTATCAAATAGTGTTATCATGCTCTTTGTATCTGTTGTAGTTTCCCTGGAAACAAATAGGAGGCATTACTTTTGGAGCAAGGTACATACATGTGCTTTAAAACATGCTGTAACAGCTCAGTGCTTCAGGACCTATGTGTGAGCGTGTATACTCAACAACACAAACGTGAACATACATAAGGCTATGATTTTGTACTCCCTACATGGTAGACTTGCATTATGCACTGCACAGTGAAAGCAGGTTAAGGACTATACGCCACATACTCGCTTGCACCGACACAACAAATGCAAGTTGTAAAGGCAAGGCAGTAATCTAGGTTCCTAAGGCGGTGACAGTTTTAAAAGAAAATAAACCAAAACACAATCAATAAAAAAAAAACCCCAAAACTAGTTATCCCCTTTGAAGTAGTTTTCAGCTATCAATTTTGATAACTCAGTTCTACAGAGCACTTCTAACAGCATAGCTAAAGGAGAAGCAAATTTTGGTTCAAGGACAAGAACAAGTGGCCAGAGGCAGAAAAAACTTCTAAATCCAGTTTTGCAATCAAATCCAATATACCGTGTAACTCATTTCCTCTCATGTAATTAATCACTAGCATCAGGTTTATCAGAGGTGCTGCTTTTTCACATTTATTTCAAATAAAAATCCCTAGGATCCGGCATATCCACAAGATCAGCTAAACCTTCTCTTTCTTTCACTTAAATCAGAGCACCAGTTGTAAAAACATATGGTCACAAAAGCGAGAGCTTAAACCTACCATGCCAAGTTTCTTTACCCCAAAATATTACAAGTATGCAAATCAAACAAATATCTGGAATTTGAGGTTCTCAGCTACTCTGACAAGTCGCAGTTTGAAAATTTGGCCTTCAATGCATGTATGTACATTCTTATTTTTATACTTACCCACAAAGAAAAAGCAAGAGACTGAAATAAAGGAATTACTGCACATACTCGTATGGATAGGTATCTCATAAAATGAATAACCATGCAAGAAAAATCATTAACAATAGAGCCATCTGCTGTATTTCAAAAAAACTACACCAGCAAAAAACCTGAAAATGTTCTAATGCCTCACAATCTGAATTTCTTAAATAAATTTTAAAAAAAGATTATAATTATAATAGTATAAATGACAGGAAATGCATTTCTTGTACCTCTTCTAATTAAAAACAATATTTACTAGCATAATACTGTACTGTGTACTTAATGATACTAATTGACTTTGTAGCTGAGCAAGCAAAAAACATAAAAGCCTCTCATTCCATCTAAGATAAGCATAGCACTGTGTAAAAAGGCAAGGAGACCAGCTGCAAGTTGAATATTTATTTAAATACAGACAAGACACTCAAATGACATTTTCTTCCCCTAAAATAAGAAATTCCAGGTCTGAAGAGCTTATAGTAGGAAAAAAAAAATCAACAAAAATGACCCAAAATTTAGTTAGAATATGGACTAACAGTGGTTTTTGGGATATCTTTACATTTCCCTCTGCCAATAGAGAGGTGCCTTCCTTCAAGAATGGTGGAAGAAGCAGATGTTTAGAACAGAGTCCAAAGAATATTTTGCATCTTAAAGATTGTATTAAACACAGCCCTGAAGTCCTGTTTAAAGTAGGCAAAACTGAACATCATTAACTGTCAGTATTAACTGTCCCACTTTCGAGAGTGCCACTTAAAAACAGTTATAATCTAGAGCATTCCAGCACCTGCTGCATCACTGATGCTCTTCCTCTTGATGAATCCCCAGCATAGTTGGATTACTCAAACCACACTCCTGTAGAGGTGATGAGAAATGATCACAAACCAAAAACAGTTGTAGCCAGCATAAATCATCTCAAGGAAGAGATCTGCCCATCTACATTTATAACAGGCTCACAACGCACCTGCTCACACTACCTCTGTACACTCACTGACACTATGTGGATAACATCTATCTGCCCCAAATGTATGTGCCCTTATCAAAAATACCAAAGATCAGACACTTGAAGACAAATTTTTCCTACAAATCCTGTTGCTTAGCATTTCTAAGGGTTATTTAACATTTTGTACCTTTTTGTAGATTATACAAAACAAATGACACTTCATTACTACACCTGCAACTTCAGTAATTGCTGTATAACAATTTTTGCCTACTATAGGCAAAACTAAACTTTCACAATGAGAATTTTTTACGCTTTATGAATAATATAGTAAAGACATTCTTAGCTTAAAAAGAAGAAGCCTTGTATTTACCTGCCATCATAGCGATCATACTGGCTTTGTAGACATTAGCAAGGGACCCCAATTCACCTGTTGCTAGGATTGTTTTCATGTGAGCTTCTCCACAGGCCTCACGGCACTGGCGGATCTCCTCATACAGAACTGTGGATAAAAGCATTTGAAAATGATCAAAGTTGGCTGAGAGACATTTTCAAGTATGGCTGTAATTTCCACTTCTGGATTAATTTCCAATCTTATAATTAGTCATAGCACTCAAGAACTTAAGTTTTGTAAGTTCAATAAATTACATGACTGGAGGTAATTAACAATGCCACACAATTTCAGACTGAACTTAATAGCTATTAATGTCGCTTCTCTCAAAACTACTAATGTGCACAGTATGCCAAACACTCATGAATACATCGGGAGCAAAAAAAAAACCCACTATGATGTACAAAATTGATTTTAAAACAGCTTTTTAAGCAATAGATTTGGTAATAAATTGAATTAGTACTCAGGCACAGTTATGTTTCCCCTTGCACATCATGTCACCACACTCCCTGTTCCCTACAGCCATCTTTGCAGGGCTCAGCCTTTGAGAAAACAGAGATGTAGCCAAGTTGTCTAATTACAGATCTTGGTGCCACCTGTGGTTCCCTGACATCTTTTTCTTGGCCTCCAACTGCTACTCCTGGAGGCACCTCTTATCTATTAGGGCCCATCCTACCCCCAGTTCCATAGGGCAGTCTCAGGAAGGCCAATTAGGAGCTAGATGCCTGTGTTTAGGTATTTAAATTCCATCCTAAGTTTTGTGAAAACATGAGTTTCCTGAAAACACGCAGCCTCATCAACACAGGCTGCTAACACCCCTGGTGAGGAAAGCCTGAGGTCCAAGGTAGCACCTTCATGGCTCAACAGCTCTGCATGGATCTGCATCTGTGAACTCCCCTCAGGGAGTTACTGAGGACTCAGGCCTACTGAGTTTCTTGAAAAAAAAGGCAGAACTTGCAGACCTGGACAGGAAATGGGAGCACAAAGAAAATGTCCTACCCCTTTTTGGCAAAATTCAGCAGTCCCATCCCATCCCCTCCCCCCCAAATATTAAACTTCCAGAGATTAAAAGAGTGAGAAGTTGTGGAAATATAGCTGCTACAGTCTGGCCACTTGGGGATGATTAAGGCTCATCTAAACTAGTGGCAGGGAGAAAAGCAGCTCTTACAGTGTGCTGCCAATGTTTCTGGAATCTGAATTAGAAGGAAAAAAAAAGGCAAAATAAGCAAATAGTATCTTTTATAAGAGTCCTTTTCAGAAACTATACTTAATCTTTAAGCACACATAATGAAAAAGTTCATTTATAGAAGACAAAAAAACACCAGCTTTAACAAATTTTCCTAAAGTCCAGGATTATCTTTTTCAGCATACTGTCTCAGTCCCCAGACAAGTCCCAAAGAAGGCTCTCCAGCTGGACACCTCCTTTGCCTGCCATGTTGCCAAGTCCTACTGATGCTGTGGGTTTACCAGGCTGCTGGGGCTGGGATCACTGCGGTGGTCCTCAGAGACATACTACACACATTAGTAGACAACTGGCTAACGTACTTAGCAAGTCCCTTTATAGACACCAGGCTTCACCTTGTTTCTTACTGTGTACCAAAGGTGTGAATTAATCAGTACTAGCATGCGGTCTAACATGTTTTATTGATCAATTGATGATACTCCAAAAACCTTCTACATCAAATCAAGACTCAAAAAAAAAAAAAGGAAATACAAAGCACCTGTGCTATTTTCTTGTGCATTTGATAATGCTACTCGTGTTAGATCCAAACGCAGTTTCTTTTTGTGGAGTGACTCTTTCCTGAAGCCTTTGGAAAGCTGGAAAAAGCAGCTTTCATGTTCTAGTTTCGGTAACAACAAGAAAAGACTCAAGTTTTCTCTACCTTTAAGATACACTGCCAAAAATGTCAAAACAAAATCAACAAAATGTACATTTAGTTTGGATTCCATGAAAAGAAATTTTATTTCCGTAACTGTGTTGTTCACCGAAGTTAGTTCTGCAGCTACAGCACTCTCCCTATTGTTGGAAAGTACATTTATAAGCAATTAGTGCCAAGATCATTTGAATTGTCTCTCTATCTGACAGCATGCATCAACCCACAGACAGGAACAACTGAAGATCTTCAATCATCTGTGTCTGTCAGGTTACTTGAGGTGGTGGAACAGTAGGCATGTGTTAATGGGGCAGGTGTGGAGGTAATAAATACTCTTCTTTTATTCACACTCTATTCACAGATCAATTATTGCATTGAGTATTTGGCACTCACAGGATATTCTCAGCCCTACAGTAAAAGTACGAATAGAAACGCAACTATCTCTGGGAAAGAGAAAATTAACCAAAGCACCTGAGACTGAACACCTTTGTCCCAGGTCAAGCAGGCACTGCTTTGTTTCAGAAACAATGCATGAACTCCTATTGCTCTCAAAAATAAAAAGGGTACTCAATCAGATTTAAATAAAAAGAGAAATTACTCGATCAACTCAA